TCCCACCGTTCCCATATCTGTTTTAGAGAGTAGCTCGCTTGTTTTAATCACCTTCTGTTCTTCCATTAATGAAATAGCATCACCGCGGACCCCTCGGGGTCATAAAAAGTCGCCTAATTCCATAATTTTCCACCAATGGGTCACTGGCCCTCCGTAACAACTCACTTCTTTGTCAGTGAAGCTGAGTGCTCCCACATCTCTTCCTTCATGGTGCCCATCTACATTAAAATCCACAATTCTGAGATTAAAGTTAGAATTCTGACATTTTTCCCATATTAAACTGAAATAATATTTAAAAATCCGTTAACTTTAATATTTATTTTTTCAGTGGCCCTAATGCTCTTGCGTATTCATGAGTCTGAGTCACAGTGAAACAATTAATACTGATCAGACCTGAGACAAAATGTCAAAAACCTAGATCTACAAAGCATAGATTAAAACTCAACAAGGTAAACAAACAAATAAGTGGTAATATCAGACAAAAAAAAAACAAAACAAAAAAAACAATTAGGGATTCTGTTGGGGAAAAAGAAAAAAATATTTCAAAATGTTACAAGATAAAAAAAAAAAAAGGTACAACATTTTTAAATTTTCAAAAAGCATTTTCAACACAGAGGAGTTCAAATAATAATTGCCTCTCACCGGGATCAACATTTGATAAATTTCACAGCAAAAAATTTAAAATTCAAATAGAAAATTATATTTTAAAACCAACATATTTCAAAGGAAATGTCAAATAAATGTGAGATACAGAATAAATAAACCCAAACAAGAACAAAACTTTATACAGAGTATAATCTGACAAATAGGAGAATAAAAAAGATGTGCAAATACAAACTTTAAAATGAAAAAAAAAAAAAAACTGTAATAAATGCATAAATTAGGAAAACACAACAGACTTTTACCGCCTCCTAACAGCTGGGAAAGCAAACAAATCAACATTTATGCATGTTTTTAAAAATCAAGGCAATGAAAAACACCTGAGATATTAGTGTGGAAAAAATACGAACAATTTCATAAAATGCAATTTTTAAGAACATGCACAACTTTAAGAAAATAATCATTTGTAAAAAAAAAAAAAAAAATAGCAGCATAAACATCATAGAACACATTCTATTAAATCTGTATTTCAGAAACAGCAAATTAATTATCACCTTATTATACACATTTAAACTGATTGTAAACACAAATATAAGTCATACCCCATGTACTACTGGAAAAAAATGACAAAACACAAACAAAAGAGAACTCCTCCTATAGGGGGCGCCATATAGGAGTATTTTTCAGGGGGAAAAAACAAACAAACAAACCAAATCATATCTAAAATATGACCAAGCTTCATATGTTAGACAGAAGGATTGATATTTCCCTCTAGATCAGCAGAGTGACTGCAAGGTGTCCTGCTTCTGTGGGTGTAAAACAAGCCCGAAGCATCATACCGCCACCACCTTGCTTGCGGTTGATATGAGGAGTTGGTGCAATAAACTGGTCTGCATTGTGAACACTTGACACATTATTTGATCAATAAACAATAGTCTAAAGGGCAGTAATAGTGGCTGCTCTAGCAATAGAGGCTGTTTGTTTGTTTTTCAGCCCAGTATTATGTTAACACATTGATAATAATCAGTTAATTTACTGTATCATTAAGCTCCTAAATCCTGTAGAGCAGCAGGGATGTACCCACTGGTACTGCTGCAAATCTGTTCCTCTGTAACATGTTTCTTTCAGTCATGTGAGTCATAAATTATTTTCTGGTCTAAAAAAATAATCACTAGAATGAATCATCAATTAATTTGTTTCTTACAAAAAAAAACATCCTGTTATACAGGATTTCAATGTGTGCTTGAGCTGCAGTGTTGCTCATTATCTGCCCTGGTCTTTGCAGCTGTAAACTAGGATCAGTAAAACAAATGAAAGCTTGAAAACAAGGAGTGTGGCTGTGAGGAAACTCCAGCTCTGAAGGTCAAACCTGGAGGAAATCAGCCAGAGTTACAAAAAAAAAAAAAAGCTCTTTATGTGTTTATTTAAGGGCAGACTGAGGGCTAGGTGTGTCGGCAGAAGGTCGTATTTTACCATAATGTGACAGAATAAACAGGCGCTCAGCGAAGGAGGCGATTTCTGAGATATCTGCTAGTTTACTCTGCTCTTTTCATCCATCAGCTCGAAGCTGCATCGAGCATTTGAAGCATCGTCCGAGGTTTATCATTACTGTGGAGGAGTGAACACCTAAACCGGTTTAATCAAAGTCAAAACAATGTCAGACTCATACATTTACAAAAAATACAATAACATAAATATATTGAGTTATTTCTATACGGTTTTCAGTGGAACAGTCAAAGAAAATGTGTATTTTATATTTTTAGAAAGCTGATTAGATTAAAGATGATAAATACAGAATTAATGCTCTTTCAGAACTAGATTTTGTGTTTTATGGGGTAAAGAGAAAATTATGCCTCTGAAAGTTATCTAGGAGTCTTTAGTGAAATCATAGATAACCATTTTAATAAAAACATATTAAATAATCAATTTATGTAGATATTAGTACTTGTAAATATCAATTTATTGCAGAATGATTGTTGATAAAAGTAGGTAAGTATTGACAATGGAAAAGATGTTCAATCCATTACTCAAACCTGAAAGAATTTTATCCACTATACCTTTTATCTAGAAAGCACGGATGTTTAAATATATGCATCTATTTGTTGACAAGGCTGTAGGAAAGGATAGTTTATTTAGAAAATATGGATGTTATGCGCATTAATTTTCCTGTTGAAACAGGGTTGTTTGACCCTGACGTTCTGGCACCTTTTCACTTTCAGCCACCCCTCAGTGTACACTGATTATTGCCTGGTCACCCTTATAAAACCTTTCTGGCTATGCCTCTGCTTCCTGCCTACAACAATAAAAAATTTGAACTAAAAAAAAAAACATTGTATGTTATAACATGTTATTTCAGAATTTCATTATGAATTAGAATAAATATTCCATCAAGTAAATATCAGAAAAATAATTGCACTATATTGGTCAATATTATATCACCCTTTTAATCTTTTTTTGCTGTAAAACACCTTGCTCAACATTTATTACGCCGACGTTATATTTTCTTTGCCCTAGGGGGCGACATTTCCCCATCTGCGTTATTTTTCCATAACAGCAATTCTCAGTCTGTTTTAACAGCGTTATTGCTATTATTTTTACAATAGATTGCTCTTTTTATTTATTTGTTTATGTTTGTTGTTTTACTATCTATTTTTCACTCTATCCTTTTATATTTTGTGTGCTTTCCGGTTGGGTCCGTGTTTTAACCAATCAGAGGAGAGCTGGAATCAAAGGAGGAAGTGGTCATCAGTGACGGAGCTTCGGTCCCGCGAAGATCGGGACACATTTGTTTTTACCGTCAGGTAGGAGATCGCTTTTATCAAATAAATCTTTGTGCATATTACTGCATTAAACGTCACTATGTTAGATATATTGTCTGAACGTCCGTTTGCTCGGAACTTTATAGCTGCGCACTGATTTAAAATCAACCGAGAGCGTACTGAAAGTTACACCAAACCCAGTTCTTAAATAAAGCGAATGTTGATATTACATTGTTTCCGACCGTTTTACCCAATATCAGTTAATTTCTAAGAAGAATTCTTAAAAAGTAACACCCTTATTTAAATTCGGCTTGTATTATATCCTCTCTAGACTTTAGTAAAGTATTGAAAATGTGTTATTTATATAGCAAAGCAATTAATAGTCCCTGATAAACTCAACTTGGATTTGTGTGCAATAAGTTATTTAACCATTAGTTTTGTGCCGATTTTATTTTGATACAGAATATTTACCAACACAAAAACATACATGTTTGTAAAAGTTTTCGGTTTTTCATAATCCATGTATTTATATGTTTTACAGTTTTCTTTCCTTCGCATCATGAGTAAAAGAAAAGCCAAAGAAGCACATCTGCCTATTGGGGAATGCATCGATCAGGTTTGACAAGAAGAACGCTTTCCTTTTTATTCTATTTTATTTATACGGAAGAGGGTTAGGGCCACTGAAAAA